CTTTTTTCGCTTTTGCGCTCTGATATTTATGTGACGATATATATATATATATATATATATCGTCAAATAGAACTATATATATATATATATATAGCCTCGTGCTCGCAGGAACGCATGCACGCACAAGCAGTAAGCAGGTGTACGTGGCCGAAAGATTTGCGATCGAGAGCGGGAGGAGGACATGAGAGAGCGATGGCGAGGGGGAGGAGAGACGACAGAGGGGCAGAGAAGGGACGCCCGCAGTAGAAAGCAAAGCAAAGAGCGGCAAAACACCCTCAGTTACGACAGGCAGAGAGTACACGAACGGTCCCAGCAGTCTGAGAACACCTTATGCACTCTGGACAGCTCTCTCTCTCTCTCTCTCTCTCTCTCTCTCTCTGTGTGTGTGTGTGTGTGTGCGTGCATGTGCCGCGGTGTGTGTGTGTGTGTGTGTGTGTGCGCATGTGTGTGTGTGCGTGTGTGTGTGTGTGTGTGGGTGCGTGTGTGCGTGTGTGTGTGTGTGTGTGTGTGAGTGTGTGCCCTTTTTTCGGCGCGGATTGACCAACGACAGGTAATTCAAGAATTTCATACATCTGATGGCCGAGTAGCTCAGTGGTAGAGCACCGTTTGGAAAATGCGCATTGTGGTCTGGGGTGAGGCCCCACCAGCAAAAAGGATTGGATGGAATGCCAGAATCTGGACGTCCTCGTCGGAAACGTGCAGAAAATTGAGATTGAATTGCTTTTCTGCATCTGCACCTAGGACCCATCCAGATGCAGGTTCTTAATCCGATCCACTCTGCTACCGGTAGGACCCTGAGGTTGTGGGTTGAAAACTCGGCAGCCTCGGCATGCTTGCCATTCACACATACCCCTTCGGTGCAGGTAAGAACTACAGACACTGCCTGCCCTGCCTGAGGGGTTCAGTCCAAGGTTTTTGTATACTGGCGTCTAGGTCCCCAGGGGGGGGGGCGGGGGGAGGGGAATATTTACCAAGTTCCAGCTGGATTCGAACTCAGCTACCTTAACACGTGTACAATCCGTTGTACGGGCGTACAAAACCCCCGTTGTAGGAAATAGCACACTGCGCAATAGTGTAGGGAGGCGTACATGGGGCGATAGCCCCGGAAGTAGGGTACTACTCCCTACAATGGGTTTTTTGTATGCCCTGAGACTCCAATGAGTGTAGTATCTGGGGGTAGGGGAGGGGGCAGAAGTATTCCTCAGGGTTTTCCTTTCTGAAAATGTTTTATTTTGGGACCATTTTGCCACAATGTCATAGCACCCACGGCCCTCACCTTTGCTGGAGGGCGTCCCCCCCCCCCCCCCCCCCCCCCACACACACACACAGAGAGAGAGAGAGAGAGAGAGAGAGAGAGAATGTGTGCATGTGTGTGCTTGTGTGTGTGTGTGTGTGTGTGTGTGTGTGTGTGTGTGTGCATGTGTGTGTGTGTGATGTTCAACCTCATGCCCTGTGCTGTCTTTCGGTCGGAGGGATAAGTTATGCGGCCCTGAAGGACAGCAAAATGCGGTGTGCCAAGGATTTTTGGGAAATTGAGTGCAGGGACACAGACGAAATAGAAGTCCTCAGCGTGGTTCCAGTTTTTGTGAGGAAGGACCATGGTCTTGCAGAAAAAAAATAGTATGCTACTTTCAAATGTTCACTTAATTCAAAATAATTTGGACAAGGGTTCTGAGAGCTCCACCGATCCAGCCATCTGTCAGCCTGTGTCAGGCGCCACACCTCAATCTTGTGTAACTTACTACTTAGGGCATACTTGGGCCCTCTCTTTCAAAATGGCAAAAATTTAGTGGTTCTTGTAGTCACACAAGGCCAATCAGTTGTAGCATTTAGGGTAGCAAATGTCAGTGGCCTGTCCGGCCACGAGGTTGGGAAATTTGGCATGGCCTCGAGAGGACGAATTCACGATGAATCACCTTGGATATCTTAAACCACCAGTACTTGGCCCATACATCGGCGACTGGGCCACCGTGCCAGGAACCAAAACCACCCAACACTGTTGGCAAATATTTGAGAAATCCATCAACCAATGAACGATGCCGTTTAAATCTCGCGGCATTCAAACTACTTTCCCTGGCCCT